CCCCCCCCCGGCACAATAGAAATAAAGGACTAAGGAAAGAAATGGGGAGACTGGAGTTTGTCTTTTTGTATCAACTCTAAATGTGCAACTCTTATTCTAAAGAGTAAAAGCCTGAGTCACTTACCACACCTGGCGCTTTCCTTGTGCATCCAGGCCTGTGGTTGGTTCATCCAAAAGCATCACAGTGGGATTACCCAGCACGCTCAGAGCAAAGCACAGCTAAAAGGTAGAAAATGAATCTTATTTTAAAAATCACAGTGAATATTTCATGCAAGCACAGCATAGAAATGTGAAGAAATAATATTTTTAAGAAGATATTTGTAAAGTGCTCTTCAACCACACGTTTTCGAATCTGTGAAGCTCCACAGGAATACGTCAGAAAAAACAGACTGCTACAACATTAGTATTCTGAAATCAATCAGCCAGAACATGTCAAAAGATCTTGTTAGTTTTATATGAAATTCTCAAGGACTAGGATGAATAAAGTGTTTCTTATTAATAATGAATGCAGCTACTTTAAGCTGGAAATGCATAATCAGCACCAGGAAATTATAAATGTTTGTTATACCCCAACACTCTACTAGATCCTAATACAAATATTCCTCATCTTTCATATTTTGTTCTATACACCTGAAGTCACCATGACAGAGCAAAACTATGAAATATGTCACCACATTTCTGGGTGTGTATTGTTTAGGACCACACTAACACTTCTGTGATACTCCTGTAGAACTATACCAGAGTTTGGAATATTTTCCAGACAACATGAATCATTTTAAACTTGAATATATGAGAATAAATTTCTGAACATACTGGAGGGTAATTTCCCAATCCATAGTTTTTAATTGCATGATAGGTAGGACAGAATATCTGTTAAGCAAAGTCAATTTTAAATATGTCAGTATTGTCTGACTGAATGCTCTGTACTGTTCTCTGATTTTCCAGCAGTTCCTCCCTTTATTCCCCCTGTCCAATGGTTTCAAAAGACTGAAGTATTTCCAGGACAGAGAGCAAAATATGAGCCAATCATGTGCCATATAAGGTTTGGAGCTTAACAAAGGCTAAATCCTGGTTTCCAGGGCTCCCATACTGTGGTGGGCATTTTCTTCTTGCCACCTTCTTATGGAAATTTGCTTTTAAGCAGCACCAACATGGCCTGGACCTTTACAGAAAAAAATGCAGAGAGGAACAGAACACATAACGCAAGAGAGAAAGCATAGAATGGCTGAGATAGATAAGGGGGAATACCAAACAGCAGCAACCCAATTGTTCTTGATGGTGCCACCAGGTATTACCAAACCTTTGATATTTGTCCATCAATACCAGAGGAACAAAACACTGAACTTACCTTTCTGGTTAATCCAGCTGCTAAAGTCTTTACTGTCTTTTTTAAATGCCCTCGGAGTTCTAGAGCCCCAGCTATTCTAGAAACAAAATGGAAATTACAAAGTTTGACCTATTCTGCAATTGATCCTCCTTTTACCACAATTGCAAACAAACACATTAAGAAAATAAAGAACATTCCACTATAATATAGTATAATATAATATGTAGGAATTCCAGTTGTTGCTCAAGAACTCCAAAAGGAAAAATCAAAACTGAAAATAACCACTTTCTAATATGTTTCACTTTTGGATATACATATTGACTTGTAGTAATAACAGGGATGTGGCAGGGATTTAATTATTAAAAAGGTATCTTTTTCCATACCGATTAATAGCCATAATAGCAGCATCCTTCCTTATCCCTTTTACAGCTGCATAAATCTCCAAATGTTCTTTCACAGTCAGGTTGGACCAGAGGCCCTTCTCCTGAGGACAGTAGCCAAGAAAGCCAGCGGCATTTTCTTCTGTGGCAGCTCCATCAGATCCTTTAATCTGCACCTGTTCCAAATGTGTAGTAGAAGGATCTCGTTTGATTTTGTCCATTGTAAGAACATATTTTGAAATATCAGAAAGGTGACAAGGAATGTATGTGAAATGCAGGTACTATATTCTATAGCAAATCAGTAAGTTGAGAACTCAGTCCAAGAAAGACGAAGGGACCTAGCATAAGGCTATACCCAGTATTAGACTGCAACTATTATCTAGAGCAAAGATTTGATGAAGGATGACATATGAAGAGAATTTTTGTGTCTCCAGTCACTACTGCCATTGATAAATTAACACCCAGATTGTTGTTTTAATACCCACATCTGTAGCTTTCCAATATACTAGTTCAAAGCAATTTCATTTTCTTTACTTTCCAAAATTAAATAAATGGTTTTGCAATGCAATGATAAAAAGCAGAAAGAGCAAGACATTCTCAAACTTTATTTTTTATTTTTTCCAACCCAATGGCAGAGGAATTATGAAATGGGCTCTGGACTCTGTCCACCCATCTATGTGTTTTTCTGCAGGCTACCCCTCTGGAAACTGAGAAGAATGGGACCAAATTTGGAATGCTGGGAGAAGACAGCCAAAAGGAAGGAAGGAAGGAAGGAAGGAAGGAAGGAAGGAAGGAAGGAAGGAAGGAAGGAAGGAAGGAAGGAAGGAAGGAAGGAAGGAAGGA